TTCCCGTTGGCCCATGTGTGGTAGAGTAGCAAAAATGGAAAATGTGACGAAATGGCGTGGCATTTATTTCACGGTCTATTTTTTTCTTCTTCATTTTTTTGATATTTTTGCTGGAAAGATCACGGCCTAATCTACAGGATATCAAATTTTCAGATTTTTCTGCCAATTTTCTGAGCGCGAAAAATCGCCAAAGTTCGTGCTTGAAAAATCTTGGACCGGAACCGCCTGCGCCTGCCGGTCGCCGCCCCCCTAAGAACCCGTTCCGTAAGGCCAGGAAAGTCCATTTTAGGCCGGCGGGGGTAGTGGTGGCTTAAAGTTCACTGCTTGTGATACCCTCCGCCTCCCCCTGCATGTGCCCAAAACAGTGAACATGTTGCTTGCCTGTTCTATTCCTTACCTGGCAATGCCTTGTAGTCAATAGGCATGTTTGTATGGCGGATTTGGGTTCTTGTTTTTTTGCATCCCGTGCTTGACGACTGGTAAGATGTGGCGATTTAACTCTTTACTCTTGTAAAAGTGGCGTCTCGTGGAGCTTCCCCGCTTACCGCAACTTAGGCACATCTCCTCTTAAAACAAGCAGCACTTCAAGGCGAATTGTGTCAGAGCAAATAGAGAATGAAGAGTGCAGATTGAGAACTCCGTTCAATATTTAGACCAACCGATCAAGTATTTTCAAGCTTGTTACAGATCTTTAACGGCGAGGGTTATCGGCATTTTGCTTCGAGTATATGGGGAAAGGGAAAATGGGAAACGAAGGAACGTGCACTGACATGTAGGGGTGCCTCCATTGACAGGCAGGTGTTGGGTGTGCACGTGCTGAATGTACAGGAAAACGCTGATTCAGAAAAAATGGATGAGGACAGGGAAAGAATTGGGCAACTTGAGGAAAGGGCTCAAGCAGCCGAGGAGAAGGCTGCCAGCCTCTCACATTCATTGATGGAATTACAAGCCAGACTAAAGGAGAATCTCTCAGGGTCATCTGAAGAGATCTTGAAGCTAAGTAGCGAGGTTGAGACCCTCCGTTTGAATCTGGCAGAGTGCATGAAAGTCATCGAGCTGAAGGACACTGAGGTGTTGAATTTGCAGAGTGCTCTTGGAGCCTTCTATGCCGAGCGAGATGCTCAGGTATTTCTCTATGCCTAGTCGGACCGAATCTTCTGCGAAGTCTGTGCTTGTATCCCTCGGCTTCTTCACCTGAAGATTCGTCCATGTTAGTTCATAGCCAGTCCTTGGAAGAGCTCTGACTGTGTCTCAGAGATGGAGTTGAACGGGTGGTTCGTGAACGTGAGGTGTAGGTGGGGTACCTGCCAGACCAGGCGTGGCAAAAAAGGCACGAAGCAACATCTTCTCTGTATTTCGCGGCTCCCCCGTCAAGCTCCCTGGATGACCTGATCTCACAATGGCAGCGAACAGTTTCAAGTTTGATGTTCAGCTCATGCTTGGTCATAGTGCTTGGGAGAACCCCTGGAAAGGAAATGCAAACACAGAAATGCCAGTTGTTTTTCCACAACTAGAAATAGTTGTTTCTGAAGCTCGTGTTACGTCACAGTAAACATCCTGAGAAAAATTGTTGCAACCAAAGTTTTGTCCAGAGAATGATTTGTATGACATGCTTCAGTCCTTTTCTTTTCAATGTTCCTCAAGTTCCATCGTTTGTTACTGTTTATATTTTGAAATCCCTACACTTACAAAAATCGCTAACGTGAGAAATCTGCAATCTGGGCTGTCCCGGTCCTAGCAGCCCGACGGTTCGGTTTGTCACCCGACCTTAAGACTTTAAGATTGTGCGATGATCCAGCTCGTCCATGGTCCTACTGGCCCGACGGTTCAGATCGTCGCGCAATCTTAAAATTTTAAGATCGCACGACGATCTGGGCCGTTGCCGGGTACCAGTTGGCCAACGGCCCAGATTAAAAGTTTGCATCACAACCGAAGTTAGGGCTGCCAGGCATGGGGAGAAACACGTTCCAGGGCGCAGCGGTTCGGCCCCCGTGCGTATCTTTGGCGGCGCACGGAGCCGGTGTGTAGCGAAAGAGACAACGCGCACTCACTGCTCCCCGCCCGCTCGCTCGAACAAGCACATGCACAAACACACGCACACGCACATGCACATGCACATGCACGCACGCACGCAAATGCATCATGGACAGACTGTCGGGGTTCAACCTCCTGATGAGTTGGTGAAAGTCCAACGAAACAGTTTGGCACAGTGGGGCTTTTTTTGGGGGGTTTACACAAACACACGAACTGTGGGTGGGTGGGTGTGTGCGCGTGCGCACGAGAGAGAGAGAGAGAGAGAGAGAGAGAGAGAGAGAGAGAGAGAGAGAGAGAGAGAGAGAGAGAGAGAGAGAGAGAGCTCACAAGTGACAATGTTGGAAAAGTCTCATCAACATCAAAAATGAACCAATGTCGAATCCCTATCTGGTGCTCAGCGCCCAGACTACAAATGGCAGATCCTATCTAGCCTATCTGCAATGCCGCTGGTGACGTCAACAGCTTCCCGAAGTTTGAGCAGATTTTGGCCAATGCCGTTCGCATCGAGCACCAGGTATGTCCCTCACTTCACTCACAACCTCGATCCTCCACACAGATGCCACATGCACCTGAAGACCACCATACGCCCCATCCAGCAATGCGCAGGTCAGCTTGGCTATGGCTGCCTGCTTCTTTTGTGTATGTATGTGCAAGGAAAATGAGCGATAGCGAATTCGAGAAACCAAGCAGCATCATACACATGAAACCAGATAGTCTTGACCTCTAACCAGAAGCAGAATTGCAACTCGAGTTCCAGCAAAAGCTCACAAGTGACAATGTTGGAATAATCTCATCATCATCAACAATGAACCAATGTTGAATCCCTATCTGGTGCTCGGCGCCCAGACTACAAATGGCAGATCCTATCTAGCCTATCTACAATGCTGCTGGTGAAGTCAACAGTTTCCCGAAGTTTGAGCAGATCTTGGCCAATGCCGTTCGCATTGAGCACCAGGTATGTCCCTCACTTCCTTCACACAGATGCACCCGAAGACCACCATGCGCCCCATCCAGCAATGCGCAGGCCAGCTCGGCTATGGCTGCCTGCTTCTTCGCTGCTCGCCCATGAGCGCATAGGCACTTGCTTCAGCAGGCACGGCAGCGCTTGCGCATAAGTAGCGAGTGCCTGAATGTCTTGCCAGCAGCCAGGCCGTTTCCTTATGGATGGTGGCTGCCACTCGTGGGCTGCCTGGCTGGCCTGGGCCTCTCCAAGGAAGCTTCCGGTAGGTCCCAAGTGGCTGAGCCGCTGTACCAGGGCCTGGGGAGGTTACCCATGTCCAACTGCCAAGAAGCCTGTGTTCAGTTCATGCCATGTGCCTAGCCCAGGGCCTGCGTCAGATACATTTGGGAAAAGGCAGGCAGGGCCTGGGCTCACTCAACCAACTGATGCAGCGCAACTTCCTCAATTTCCCCGTTTGCAACCAACGCCAAATATAGGCCTCCCATCATTTGGCAGGCCCGCCTTCACTTATGGCGGCCATGCATGCTGAAGACAGGGTGCAGTACGGCTCTCCGAGGACAAGGGCCTTGCACTCCCTCCTCCATACTTCGATAGTTCCTCTGAGAAGTTCAATCAATCTGGCACTTTCCTTTCTGCAGTAACTTCTCATAGTGAGCGAAAACCTGTGGAGCGGTCTGCATCAGTTCCTCCCTTGTAAATCATCTGTCCTCCTTTGCATCAGCGTGATGTCTGAACCGAACTCGATACTGCAGCTTTGGCTTCGGAGGACGGCCCCTGCCTGTCGGTTTTGGAACCGGCATTTCCCTGTTGTCAACAATGTCATCGATGTCGACCTCTCCATCCATGGTTGGGGGTAGCATTTATTGACGAGAAGGAAACTGGTCAGTTTCTTTGAAAGGTGCAAGTTTGGCGGCGTGAAAAACAGGGTAGGTGCGGAGGTGACCAGGGATTCGGATAACGTAGGATGGTCCATCAGTGTGGCATACTGCGTAGCCACACGGGGCCCTGCAGGGCCCGTCCCGGACATTCAGCCTAAAAGCCTAAAACTTAGGGCTTACAGGCCCCGCTCGTTTCAGCCTGGATGCTGAAAAACGAGGGCCTGCAGGCCCTACCCCGTTTCAGCCTATTTCTGGGTCTTTACAGACCCAGAGTTTTCAGCCTGAAACTTAGGGCCATTTTCAGGCCCTCATTGTTTCGACCTGCCCCTAAGACTCAGGCACGTAAACAGGGATGTGGAACAGGCCAGAAATAGCCTGTTCCTCACGAGTTTGAGCAGGAGCTGCAGCTGCAGCCCCTGCCTCCCTTCACCAGGCTCAGGAGGCACACCCGTAGTACATAGGAAGTTCCCATGCACTTCACGGGTAGGTAGTGTCAGTAGGCAGTGGTAGTCTTCAGGATTTCGGCCGCAGCACTCAGGAGGAGCGCTGCAGTAGTCTTCAGCGCTAGGCAGTAGGGAGCGCTGCAGTAGTCTTCAGCGCTAGGCAGTAGGTATTAGCGCTAGCTGTAGTCTTCGRCGCTGGGCGCCATAGCTGTAGCTGTAGTCTTCAGCGCTGGGCGCTGGTAGGTRGTAGATCGYABRKWGRGWGRGAGASWGRCTGGCGGAGGCCAGKGWTACTTACCTGTGGCGCCATCGCTCCAGCTCCATCTTCGTGGTACCTGCATCAAGGCGCCAACTTCACAGGTTAGTACTGGACACAGAGAGAGAGAGTTCTTCTTCTTCCTCTTCTAAGTCCACCTTCTCTTCTCACCCTCTCGCCACCTGACTTCTCAGACTACGACAGAGAGAGACAGAGTTGTGACTTGAGACACATTGGATCCAGACTTGACATTTGGGATTCAGACATTCCGACGAGGGACTATTTGGGCTTGTGCCGAAGACTTGGTGTTGACGACATTCCCATCTTCCCCCTCCTCTTCGTCTATCCCCTTCCTCTTCGTCTGTGTATGGTATGGGCAGGCGCAGTCGTCCTGTGTGAAGCGCCAGGCCCATTTCACACCATGTAACGATGATGATGATGTATGTTCAGGACTGCATTACAACATTGATTGTTCTGATCACTGGTATCTAAGTCTTCCGTTGTGCTATTGCGAGGATCAGTGTCCTCGGTAGGCCTACTGGGCCCTGTCTGCCGCCTTACCCGCCCTAAGTGAAGGCGGAGGTGCCCGCCCTTAGTGAAGGCGGGCCTGGCTTTTTGCAAGAGGCCCTCGACTGTCAATTTCATATTTGGGGTCCAGGCAGTTGCGACGCGCCAGTTGGTTGAAAGAAACACAGGCAGAGTACCGAAGACATTTCCACGGCCTACCGGTCCTTTCCAAAGAATGCAGGCCCTGGGCGTGATTCGCAGCCTCATACACAGACAGTTGGGCGCCCAACCGAACGAGGCCCAGCAGCCCAGTAGCTGCTGCATCCAGACAGCATCCTGGGGCCTTCCGAAAGCTGCTGGGCCCAGGCCAGCCCAGCCAGGCTGCAAGAGCTGGCCAGCTCTTTTCCATAAAGGAAAGAGCCTTGGCCAGGCAGCCTCATTCAGGCACTCGCATGCTGGCGGCAGCGCTGCTAGAGCAGATGCTCATGGGCTGCTGCTAGCACTGGGAGGCGAGGTGCAGCACGTGCGGTCGTGCAGAGGAGGAGGGCACTGCTAAGGGCAGCGCCATAGCCCAGCCACCATAGCTGGTGGGCTTGGACTACAGTGAAGCGCAGGGGTGGTCTTCGGGTGTCAGAGAGGACAGGTGTGGGTGAAGTCAGGGRATAGGTGAAGGATGATGATGATGATGATGATGTGAGGGCACGTACCTTGTATTGGCGATGGTCTGCATGGGCGGCATCTTCAAGTACTTCGGCCTGCTGCTGATGTCAACAGTTGCATTGTCTTTTTGTAGTCTGTAGTAGCTGTGTAGAAGTAGGCTGGGCGCTGAGCGCCAAGTGTGAGTGTAAGGGAACTGGACTCTTGTGTTGAGAGGAGAGAGTGTGCTCTCCACGGACATTGGTTTTCAGTGCTACGAAACTCCATTGGTGCAATGTGATGGTGTGATCTGGGTTTGTCATCTCGCTCTTGCTTATTTTCCTTCCACTATCTTATACTTCGTATTGAAAGGTCGGTTCTTGTTCTGGTCTGCACGTTACAGTATGCAACAGTTTGGTATCGGAGCGGACCTCTCATTCAGAGGACCCGCTCAATCAAGTAGCCAGCTTGCGATCTATTGATCACTCATTAGTAACGCAAGTAGGACTTAGTCAAATCTCTGAAATTTTTTTTCTCGCAACAACTATCTGAAATTTCTGATATTCGCATTTTCGTTCTATCTGAAAATTTCTGATATTAGTTGTTCGTTTTTACGTGACAAATATCTGAAATTTTCTGATAAATCGCATTTCGTTTTGTCTGAAAATTCCCGATAGTAGCAATTCGTTTCTCTGATAATTCGCATACATAGCTGAAATTTCTGAAGTTAGTATTTTCGTTCTCTAGGCATATTGGGATAACGATAGAAGTGGTCATATTCTCGGAAACTGGAATTATTCTTTTCTGAAAATCGCATTTCCATTCTATCTCGCAAATTTTTTTGAAAACCGAATCGTGCGAAGCCTACCAATATTGCGTTAGGCATATTCGGAGGTTGCTATATTCTCAGAAACTGGATTTCGTTCTTTTCTGAAAATCGCATCGTTACTCCATTTCGCAATTTTTTTTTTTTCAAGATCGCAGTTTGTAAAAACCAAAACTTTGCTGCACCTAGCCTAAATCTCGTTCATAATACTCTTCTGACATATCCTACTCATCATAAATTGACAGATATATATATAAAAAAAAAAAGGAAGTACTCTTTTATTTTTATTTTTTTATTTTATCTGTTGATTAGGGTCGGAGGAAAGTATTGTTGGGTTGGTTACCTACCTACGTTTTCCCTCCCATCCACCCCTTGCATGCATCCCGGTTCGGTACAGTGCCACGTCAGCAGTGCCAGATCAGCAGTGCCACGTCAGCAGTCCCACGTCACAGTGCCAGATCAGCAGTGCCAGGTCACAATGCCACGTCAGACACAGTGCCACATAAGCAGTGCCACATCAGCAGTGCCACGTCAGACAGTGCCACGTAAGCAGTGCCACATCAGCAGTGCCACGTCATACATAGTGCCACGTAAGCAGTGCCACATCAGCAGGGTCAGACACAGTGCCACATCAGACAAAGTGCCACGTCAGCAACATGACGGGGCTGCCAGGGCAACTGCCCAACGAGTCCCTTGCCGCCTACAAGCAGCGTTTCCACGCTCAGATTGAGGCTGAGGAACAACGCGTGTTGGCAGCCGAGGCTGCCCGCGTACAGGCTGAAGAGGCAGTAGAAGCAGAACAGCTGCGGCAGGCCGATGCAGACGCAGATGCCCAGGCTCGCCGCAAGGAAGCTTAGGATCTGCTGCAGCGGCATGAAGCCAACAGCATCGACAGACTCAAGTACTGGAATTTTGAACCGAACGGCGACGAGGCAACACCGGAAGAGAAGCACAAGGAGTTCCTCTCCAAACTCGTGACGCGGTTGTTGTATGCTTGCAACTACCAACGGTCAGAGTTGGAGAGACAGTACCGGGACCTGACACAACAACATCAGGAGTTGGCGACGCTCCGCCGCACAGTGCAGGGCCACGAGGATGCAACTCGGGCACTCAATGCCCGATTGTTGGACCTGGAACAGGCTGTACCAGGACCAGGTGCTGGGGCTTCCAGCAGTGCACCCTCTAGCCGCCAACAGGAGGACCTCGTTGACCACGTAGTGGCAATGCTCGGCGACATCAGCACTTTCGCTGCGCCAACCACCACCATCAGCAGTCAGCTGCATACATTGAAGACCGAGGTCCAGCAGCTACAGACGACGAACGCAAATGGCAACCCGAAGATGTATAAGATGCCAACGTTCACTCTGGAGAGGTTCGACGACTACACGCAGCAGGATCCGGTCCTCTGGTGGGAAGCATTTACAACGCAACTCAAGATTCTGCCCGTAGACAAGCATGCATACATCGGCGCCATGTTCCTGAACCTCCCACGGCGAATGCCAGACCTGGTTGACCCACCTGGCAACCTCCCACGGCGTCAACATACCAGACTTGAAGGACGTAATCACATGGGAGGAACTGACACGACTGTGGAAGAAGCGGCTCATGGTCGACGACGCGCCAGCACTCGCCATCAACCGACTGTTCACCATGTCACAGGGCAAGACAGCAACACGGGACTGGCTCACGGAGTGGTAGAAGATTGCGGCTGTGCCCAATCTGAACTTACCATTCGAGCATCTACGCCGTGAGTTCTACAACAGGTCCTGTGCTGCATTGAGCGAGGCTCTTGGTGATCGCGAGCAGTACTCAACCTTCGCGGAGATCATTGACAAAGCGAGGGAGATCATCAAGACCAACAGGTCAGCTGCACACGAGAAATCAACATCATGGCAGCCGACCTATGTGGAGAAGGTACGAACTGGTCCGAGACAGCAGCACTTCGCTGCAGTCCAGCAGGACAGTGGAGATAACCCAGCAGCCACTCCAACATCAATTGATGGAGATCAGGTGGCTGCTGTCCAGCCGCGAAGCACCAACAAGTCCCGCAACAATGGGAAGGCGAAATCCGCATCGCAGGTCGGAAATGGACAGCCAGGACAGTTTCCATGGTTCAAGTTTGGCTTGACCGAGGCGGAGTACAAGGTCCGCGGCCGCTGCGGCAACTGCTATTGGTGCAACAGCACCAAGCACAAGACCTCCCTGTGCCAAGATCAGGGCAAGGAGGATATGCGACCCCGCCTCAGCTCGGGAAACTGAGCTCCGYGGAAGGTGAGGCGACTCCACCTTCTACTCCGCCAGATTYGGCCGCCTTGCTAGCGGCCTCCTGCACATCTGGGGAGGATGCGAATGTCGCAAGTCCTCGGTACACTTACGAGGACTATGCTGTCCACTTGGTTCCACCGCTGGACCAACCGCTCCACGTGCAACAATCCAGCGCATGCACGGTTTCATCACCATCGGCAACCGATTCGGCAGCTTCGCCGCAATCTATTGCCGAGGATTCGACGTCATGGTCAAGACTTGAAGAGCTCGACCCATTGACGTTCACGGACTTCCAGTGGATGCCCGTTCCCTCGACCGGACGATTGCCAAAACCGCATTGCAACGTGCTTATGGCACAATTGCGGGACTACTTCCACACTGCAGAACCAGCTCCGTTGATGGATGCCGGAGCAGAGGTTGTCGACCTTCTCGCGTACATCGCAAAGATCGACCGCGAGTTCAAGACGCAACGGTACGACGACATCGACGCACCATTGCTGTACATACGCATTCAGATCGGAGAGGCGACCTGCAGTGCCTTGATCGATTGCGGAGCAACTCGCAACTACATCAGCCAGGACTTCATGGTATGCGCCAGCCTTGGCCCACGTGTCCGGAGGAAGTCCCAACCTACGCAAGTCACGTTGGCAGACGGTCATACGCACAAGTCAATTGACCGGTGCATTGACGCCGTCCCCGTGTACTTTGCCCCTCATGCAAATGAGGCGGTGTCCTTCAATATTCTGGACACCAAATTTGACATGATATTGGGCATGTCATGGCTGCGAAGCGAGGATCACCCGGTGAACTTCTTCAAACGCACCGTTCACATTCGTGATCGGAACAGAGTATTAGTTCCATGCACGGTGCCCCTTCCTCATCCTTCGATCAACTGCCACGTGGTATCCGCCGCAAGCATGCGAGCTTCCATCATCAGAGACGACATCGAGGAGATGGGGGTGTGTTTTCTCCGCGCGGTTGCATCTACCGAATGAGCGAGGAAGAGTTAAGTGTGCTTCGGGCACAACTCGACGACCTTCTAGAGAAAGGTTGGATTCGGCCTAGCTCATCACCATACGGTGCTCTTGTTCTCTTCGTCCGAAAGAAGAACAAGGACCTGCGGTTGTGCATCGATTATCGCAAGCTCAACGCGCAGACGATCAAGAACGCCGGCCCTCTCCCACGCATCGACGGCCTTCTCGAGCGATTGGGCGGCGCCCAGTTCTTCTCCAAGCTGGATCTCAAGTCAGGGTACCACCAACTCGAGATTCGCAAGGAGGACCGTTACAAGACCGCATTCAAGACACGGTATGGGCATTTCGAATGGCTGGTTATGCCATCTGGCCTTACGAATGCCCCGGCCACTTTCCAAGCGGCTATGACAACGGAGTTCAGACAACGGAGTTCAGACACATACGTACTTATCTATCTCGACGACATCCTGGTATACAGCCGGAGTTTGGAGGAGCATGTGGAACACATGCGCACCGTTTTGGAGCGGCTACGACAGGCCCAGTACAAAGCCAACCGCGACAAGTGTGAATTCGCGCGGCAGGAGCTGGAGTACTTGGGCCATTATGTGACGCCGCAAGGCATCCGTCCACTCGCGGACAAGATCGAGGCCCTACGAGTATGGCCCGAGCCCACCAACACCACGGACGTTCGATCATTCATGGGATTGGCGGGCTACTATCAGCGATTCATCACCGGATACTCCAGGATTGCTGCACCTATGACGAGGTTACAGTCGCCAAAGGTGCCATTCGTATTCGATGACGACGCACGCCGGTCATTCCAAGCAGTTGAGACGGCCATGCTCATGGCACCCGTCCTCAACATCTATGACCCCACCTTGCAGACGAGAGTGACTACAGACGCTTTCGCCTATGGCATTGGGGCAGTCTTGGAACAGCAGGACGGCGACGACTGGCACCCTGTGGAGTATTTCAGCCACAAAGTGCCTCCCATCAACTCGCTTGATGATGCAAGGAAGAGGGAGCTACTCGCGTTCGTCATGGCTCTCAAGCGATGGCGGCACTTCCTCCTTGGGCGTCGTAGGTTCACATGGGTTACGGACAACAATCCATTGACCTACTACAAGACGCATGATACGGTGAGCAACACGATCGGACGATGGATGTACTCCATCGACCAGTTTGACTTCACACCGAAACATCTTCCCGGCCTCTCAAATCGCGCAGCAGAGGCACTCTCGTGAAGACCAGATCTTTGCGCTATGACACATCATGCCTTCGCATTCGACGAGGAGCTTCAGCGACACTTCATCCGGGCATATGAGTCTGATCCGGACTTCGGCACGCTCTATGCACAACTATCTTCGGATCACCCGCCGACCAGCCATTACCGCATTGCCGACGGGTACTTGCTCCTCCACTCGAGAGGCAAGGACTTACTATGTGTCCCACGCGACCGTCGTCTTCGGACTCGCCTCCTCGACGAGTATCATGATTCGCGACTCGCCGGCCATTTCGGAGTCAACCGCACTATTGCACGGCTTCGACAGCGATTCCGATGGCCCGACCTCATTACCGATGTCACTTGGTATTGCGACTCTTGCGAAGTTTGCCAACGCAGCAAGCCCCGCAACCGCAATCCCTACGGCGAGTTACACCCGATGCCTATCCCACGGGAACCCGGTCTCTCCATTGCCATGGACGTCACCGGTCCGTTCCCTCGCAACCCGGCTCGGGCACGACGGCATCCTCACGGTGGTGGACCGATTGAGTAAGTACGCGCGTCTTCTTCCTTGCAAGTACTACTCCACGGCTCCCGAGCTGGCACGCCTCCTGCACACTGGTTGGATTTGTGGCCACAGTGTACCAGTAGACATTGTCAGCGACCGCGACACTCGTTTCATGTCGGCTTTTTGGACTACTCTCATGCAGGAGTCCGGCACAACAATGAAACCAAGTTTGGCTCGACATCCTCAGACAAACAGGCAGACTGAGCGGGCACATCAAACCGCTCGAATGATGCTTCGTACGCTCATCCGTCCGGACCACAAAGATTGGGTTGACCGCCTCCCCGACATCGAGTTCCCCTACAATACTTCGGTGCATCTGGCGATCGACGTGACTCCATTCGAGTTGCACCACGGTGGACGGAAAGGGCGGATCTTCGCAGACCTTCTCCTCCCTCGACCAGCCGACATTGACGCTGCCTGCTCTCCCGCTTCCGTCCGGAAGTACAGGGAATTGCTGACTCAAGCCCGCGCAAATATGCAAAAGGCTCAAGTCCGCATGCAGCAGCAAGCCAACAGGCGTCGCGTACCATGTTCCATCCGCGCCGGTGATCTGGTTTGGGTCTCCGCGGAAGAGTTTGCACTGGAACAGGATGTTTCACGCAAACTGCTTCCCAAGTGGTTTGGACCTTGGTCTGTGACAGCAGCTGAGGGCGATGAGCCCGATGACCCTTCATTTGTGATCAAGATTCCAGAGCATATGACGGTCCATCCGGTCTTCCACGCCTCGAAGCTGGCAACATACACGCAAGCAAAGAGCGACGACTTTCCGGACCGACGATCGGAGGACCCTCCTATGGATGGCCATCTAAAGTTGACCGCGTCATCTCCGATCGCAAGTACGGCAGCAAGCCGCGGCAGTACAAAGTCACATTCAAAGCATGCGATCGCGATGACACTCGGTGGATTTCAGGCGCAGATTTGAAAGCATCCGCGCCGCTGATCTACGCGCATTATGAAAAGCGCAGGTTAGCTCAGGAAGCTTCACGACCAGCCCCTCCCACCTGGACTGTGGTCCCTCCCTCAAACAGACAGCTTCGCCCTCGCAGGTAAGCTCGGTTCTTCAAGGAGGGGGGGGTGTGGCATACTGCGTAGCCACACGGGCCCTGCAGGGCCCGTCCTGGACATTCAGCCTAAAAGCCTAAAACTTAGGGCTTACAGGCCCCGCTCGGTTCAGCCTGGATGCTGAAAAACGAGGGCCTGCAGGCCCTACCCCGTTTCAGCCTATTTCTGGGTCTTTTCATACCCAGAGTTTTCAGCCGGAAACGGAGGGCCATTTTCAGGCCCTCATTGTTTCGACCTGCCCCTAAGACTCAGGCACGTAAACAGGGATGCGGAACAGGCCAGAAATAGCCTGTTCCTCACGAGTTTGAGTAGGAGCTGCAGCTGCAGCCCCTGCCTCCCTTCGGCAGGCTCAGGAGGCACACCCGTAGTACATAGGAAGTTCCCATGCACTTCACGGGTAGGTAGTGTCAGTAGGCAGTGGTAGTCTTCAGGATTTCGGCCGYAGCACTCAGGAGGAGCGCTGCAGTAGTCTTCAGCGCTAGGCAGTAGGTATTAGCGCTAGYTGTAGTCTTCGRCGCTGGGCGCCATAGCTGTAGCTGTAGTCTTCAGCRCTGGGCGCTGGTAGGTGGTAGATCGTAGAGTGGGAGAGAGAGGCTGGCGGAGGCYAGSGATACTTACCTGTGGCGCCATCGCTCCAGCTCCATCTTCGTGGTACCTGCATCAAGGCGCCAACTTCACAGGTTAGTACTGGACACAGAGAGAGAGGGAGTTCTTCTTCTTCCTCTTCTAAGTCCACCTTCTCTTCTCACCCTCTCGCCACCTGACTTCTCAGACTACGACAGAGAGAGACACAGTTGTGACTTGAGACTTGACGACATTGGATCCAGACTTGACATTTGGGATTCAAACATTCCGACGAGGGACTATTTGGGCTTGTGCCAAAGACTTGGTGTTGACAACATTCCCATCTTCCCCCTCCTCTTCGTCTATCCCCTTCCTCTTCGTCTGTGTATGGTATGGGCTGGCGCAGTCTTCCTGTGTGAAGCGCCAGGCCCATTTCACACCATGTAACGAKRATGATGATGTATGTTCAGGACTGCATTACAACATTGATTGTTCGGATCACTGGTATCTAAGTCTTCCGTTGTGCTATCTTATACTTTGTATGGAAAGGTCGGTTCTTGTTCTGGTCTGCATGTTACAATATGCAACAATCAGGGTCTTCTCCGACGATGTCTAGTACCTTCCTGGGTCCGAATTACTGTGGCATTTGCGGGAGATACCATGCTCCTGCCCCAGTTCAAAAGCTTTGAACCAGACTCTGTCCCCTACCTGAAATGTAGATGGGCGGCTGTGCTTGTTCTCAGATTAGATCATTGTTGTCTGTGCTTTATGCATATTATCCACTGCTTGCTGCATGAGATTCTCATAACGATAAGCAAATTCTAGAGTGCCTGACGCAGTAGTGGGCCGGTTCTCAGGTAGCAGGAAGTCCAGAGGGAGTCTTGGCTTGAACGTTAGTATCAGGATGTTAGGACTGACCCCCGTCTCGCTTTAAATTGTATTATTGTATAGACTGGAAATGCGAGCAAGCTTCTCGTCCCAGTCCACCTGATTAGGCTTAATGTAATGCCTTGGCAGGTGCTGTACAGCGCGGTTCATTTGCTCAGCCTATCCATTCGCCTCAGGGTGATTCGCAGAGGTCATCTGCAGCTGCGTTCCTTGTTCGGCAGCTGCAGCCCTCCACAAAGTGCTGGTAAATCGGACATCCCAGTTGCTGATTATAGACTTAGGCAAGCCGAAGTCTCTGACCCAGTTTTCCTTGAACAACTTGATGACGTACTCGGTCTTTGCTGTTTTCGGCATAGCAACTAACCTAGCATACTTACTAAACCATCCACAATGACGTAGATATACCTCATACCACTCTTGCAGGTGACCAGCGTATCCATGAAATCCATGGACAGGCTTTCACCGGACCTCTCCGGAAGAGGCTTGTCACGGTGACGAACTTGGCAAGTTGCGACATACAGTTCGGCATCCTTCATCATCGTGGGCAAATGCTGCAACAGGTTAGCTGCAGTCTTTTTATACCCAAAATGTCCGGTGGCGTCGTGACACTCCTAGAAAGAAACTTTGCAAAGACCCTCTATTGGGTACACATAGATGTTTATTCCTTGCCTTCTCGAGGAACAGCAGGCCATTGACCAATACAAACTCATCGGAGGTGGTCTTGTCCTTTGCCTCGAGTCTGCGTATGATATCAGCCATGAACAGATCCTCGCGATAGGCTTCCACCAAGAATTGAGTCACATCGTCCGCAAGCCCAAACTCAGTAATCAGTGCCCCAAGGAACTACGCGACAACGCACAAGCAACCTTGTTGTACTCTCCTTTGATATATAGAGGCCCGTAGTCATATTATTCTATGACTTCAATCCAGCATTTCAAAGCAGCAGAGAGTACCGGTTGGGTCCTCATCCACCTCAGGGTCTGATGATCAGTCCTGAGGTAGAAGAATCGCCCCAGGAGGTAGTGCCTCCAGTGAGTCGGCGCTTTGTAGATCGCATAGAGTTCCTTCTCCTAGCTGGACTTAGCCTCTTCTGAGAGGGCATCTTTTTGGACATGTACTCTACCGGCCTCAACTTTTTCCCGTCCTGCTGTGCAAGCACGACACCAATGCCATATTGGCTAGCATTCGTGGTCAAAACAAACGGTTTGTCAGGATCAGGAAGTTTCAAGACTTCATGGTGTGGCAAGGAATGCTCTAGATGTCTGAAAGCAGCCCCGCACCTATCTTGTCCACTCCCAAGGGGTGTCAAGGCATGTGTGGTCCGACAAGGGTGTTGCCACTACGCTATATAGTTCTTCACGAATTGCGGTAGTAGCCAGTCATCCCCAAGAAGGACCTACCTTAGTCACAAACTGAGGACGCGGCCAGTCACGAATGCTAGCCACCTTCGCGTCAACGGGCTTTAGTCCCTCCGTGGAAATCTCACGACTCTAATACAAGATCCGGGTGCGGCCAAACTCACACTTCTCCGGGTTGATCTTGAACTGGTGCTGCCGAAGGAGACTAAGAAATTTGTTTAGATGGGCTACATACTCCTCGACAGTCCTACTGAAGATAAGTGTGTCATCAAGGTACACGATGACAAACTTGTCCAAGTAGTCATGAAAAGTCTTGTTCATCGCGTGCTGGAAGGTGCCAGGAGCATTGCAAAGGTCGAAAGGCATCACCACAAACTCATACAGACCGTACCTGGTCTAAAAAGCGGTTTTGTGTTGATCCTCGGGCCGTATTGCAATCTGATGGTACCCGGACTTCAGATCTATCTTACTGAAGTACCTTGACACTAGCAGGAACAACTACCATTCCTATTGGCCTAACGTGTTTCCCGGAGCAGTGCCAGAACTACTGGCAACATGGCTACCCTGGGAAGTGGAGGATGCCGACGCCTGCCCCATTGTAGGCGGGATCTTTTCCGTCACCTTCTTCTTTCGGCACTTGAACTGGTTATGGCCATATTGGCCACAATGGATACAAGTCTGTTGCATGTAACAGTTTCTCCACACGTCCTTTGTGAGACCCACTTTCTCCCATGGAGGAGTGTTGGAGTCTATTTGACTCCTAGACCGGGAGCCTCCACGACGTCTACCGGTCCCCTTACCTTTCTAGACTGAGGTAGCGACTGCTCCTCCCCTTGAAGCCTCTGTGCTGCCAGCCTCTGAACCTACTCCCTCTTGGAAGTCATCATCTAACTCGATGGTGGATCCATCGTTATTGACGAACATAATGCGGCCCTTCGCCTTCCAGTTGGGAGGCTTTCATTCCTACCATTCGGCGTGGGTTGGTGTCTATGCTCTATCTTCGCCTCTAGGTCTAGGGCCTTCTTGCTAAACGAGGGGAAGTTGTGGATGGTGATTTGGGCCCCTTACCTGCCAACTGATTCCTGAGTGGCATGGGAAGACATCTCAAGTAAGTGGTAAGCAAGACCTGGGGGTCGTAGCGCACTCCACGTACACAGATCAGACGCCCCATTGCGTCCGTGGCATCCCTTACTGACTTGAACGTTCTAGAGCTCAAAGTCTAGATCGCATCAGTGGCCTTTTGGGCCTCCTGAGGATCATGCCACCTTTCTTCCACCAACTTGAGGAAGTCCTCCAATCTCTGGTTGACTGCCCAAGCACGAAAGTCATGACCATACCCCTGCAGTTGTACTAACCCACTTTAGCCACCTTGCTGCACTTCCCTCCAGGTAGGAGGCAGCTACAAGCACTTCCGCGTGTGGCAAGGTTAACTTGCACTTCACGTAGACAGGCACTGACCTTAACCATGTGTCGAGGTCCTCACCTCTTTTGTCCCCTGAGAAGGGTTTAGGCGAGGCAATGGCAGTCTTTGGAACCCACTTACCTTATCCCGGTACCTGCACCAGTCCAGGCTGTGGACCCTGGCGTGCAGGCTACTGCACTAGCTGCTGTTGGGGCTGTGTGCCCTGCGGTTGTGCCGCGGCTGCGAGACAGCAGGCTGCCCAGTTATGGCAGTCTGCAACAGAGGTTGGGAGAACACAGTCTGCACCAGAATCTGTAAACTAGTACCTGTTGGAAACCCGCCTGTCAAAGGCATACCTAGGGAAGCGGCATGCACTGACGTTGGAGGGATGAATGGGGATACTCCAGTTACCGGTGGGACGAAATGGAGAGGCTGTGCCACCGGCCAGGCACCTGGCCTTGATGATGATGGCGTGGCCTAAACTCGCCAGACCAGCACGGCCAGGCCCCGCTGAATGTCCTGTAAAAGAGTCGTTTGGTGGTCCTGCATTTCCACTATATCTAGCAGGACTGTCTGCAGGGTCCTCACAT